ATTTGTGTTACATTTGTGTTACATTTGTGTTACATTTGTGTTACATTTGTGTTACATTTGTGTTACATTTGTGTTACATTTGTGTTACATTTGTGTTACATTTGTGCAACAGTAAAATTTGTGTATTTATCAGCACAAATACTACACACACACACACACACACACACACACACGCACACACGCACACATCAGTATTGCAGGTACTGTATCCTGGCCATCATACTGTTCAGTTGACTCGCTTTCCAAGCTTGTTGATCTGATCTCTGGAATAATGCTGGGATCTTCTCAAATTCTGATGTTGTGTCTCCTCAGCTTACTTATCTTGCCCTGTTTGGCAAAGCTTTAAAGTTCATGACTCCCAAATAATCTCTGGTCTAACTCATACAGGCAATCATACAGAGATCATGTCTGTCTCAGAGTGATTGACCTGTGACTCTAACATGGATGGTATTACATCTTGTCCAATGCTGTGGTAAGATTTACTCCTTGGTACAATTAAGCTTAACTACCACCTGGGACCTCTGAAGAGTAAGGACCCATTAATACAATTTGCCCCAGGAATCTGAGGAATCCACAGGACTTCTGAACAATCCTTGATGAATATCCCAAACATTTGTCAGGATGTTTCAGTGACCTTGCTCTCTGAATAAGTGCTTTCTGTTCCTGATATTAAAGCACATGTTGATTTTCTGAGAAGTTCCAGAACACAAATCTCTAAAAACAAGCTTGGTATAGCAGGGGAAAGTCCAAAGGTGAATTTATCAAGCATGGCAAAAGCTCAAGTTCAAACCTACATCAGCATGATAAGAGAAGCAAAGTATCATTATATATCCTCCCTTATTGCATTGGCAGACTGTCAACCAGCTGCCTTGCTTAGGGTAATAAATCCCCTCTTAGGAAGGGATGTCCAGGAAGATCTTGTGTTTGGCAGCTATAATTGTTTTGTTTACCATTTTGCCAAGAAAATTGCCCCAGTCTTGCTCAGTCCTGAATAGAGTTTATAGTGCAGTATTATCTTTCTGGTTATCTGGGATTCTTTTTTGTCTGGGGACTTGAGGAAACGGGACAGGTAAATATCTCATATCCCTGGTATCTCACAATGTGAGAGGCTGTGGTAAGAATTAAAAAGCAGGTACATTACCATCTTATTTTATAAACAACCACTCAGTCCAGATGGCAAGAAACGTGGAAAGAAGCATTTGAAGGCTACAATACACCGCTCCTGAAGAGAGTTTCTCTAGAGCCGTAGGTATTTCATACATATTACTTAGATCTTCCCCCCTTAGGTTGCTGAGTACATGGTAGGGATTCAGCTGCAGAACACATACCTCTTGGCTCATTTAAATATCTCTTCAACTCTTGACATCAAGGTATCATCCGGATTATCTCAGGAATTGGAGACTGGGGCACAATGTTCCATTTCTACTTCAGTAGGTAATCCCAACCAAGAACAGTTTGGAGGTCAGCCTATAGTCACTTTCTTCAGGAGTTCCATAAAGTTAGTCTTCTCTCTCTTTTAACACTAGACAACCCATGATCACTTGTCATCATTTCAGAGATATTGCCCTACCAGAGTCCTCAACGCCTTCAACAATGGCAGAGCTTCTAATATATTTGAAAAAATCATGGAGATATTCAGAGATGCATCTCCCTTGAAAGCAGCCCATCATGTTGAACTGTACAGCACAATCAAACATACGAGCTGACCATAGGAAATGTTTTATGATAATTTGCTTTATGGTAATTTTTGTCATAAAATATTTTACACAATTTGCCAAACTTCAATTCCACATGGGCCCCAGATTTTGAAGCATTCTGTAATTTAGCCCATTTGAGGCAACTTAGTTGAAAATGTTTTGCCTCAAGATTACATAATTTTTCCCAGTTCAAGTTTACAAACACAAGAGTTTTAGTAGCATACTAGATAACTCATGTCCTGACGGATCATTCTTTCAAAGATATTTATCGTATTTCACAATGCCTTCAACAATAACAGAACTTCTAATGTGCTAGCCTCTATGGAAAAGTTGGGATACATTCAGAGATGAATCTGCCTTGAAAAATAGCCCATGTTGAATTGTACACCATGATTGAAAGTAAATACAGTAAATGTTTTATGATTGCTAGAAAAATGCCTTTTCTATGGCACCACTGTCCTTATGGAACACCTTTCCCTCTGAAATTTGGCAGGCCTCTACCTTCCTATCATTCCATAAAGATTTCCCCCCAAATACTGGCCTTTTCCCCAAGTGCTGGGATAAGATGAGCTGACTGCACATCAGAAGCTTGACTGTTTTTGATTTTTATATATTTGGTTTTAATAGTTTTTATATGGTTTCTATGTATTTTAACTTTTGATTGTGAGCCAATCAGACTTTCTACAAAGT